GTATTGACTTAAGTGCCAAACTTCTCATGGATATTTATAAAATCGATCTACTTGTGTTTTCGCTTTTCAATAACAAGCGCACAAAATAAAACGTCCTAAATATATACGATTTGGTTTGAGGTGAGGTAGGCGCCTACATCGACGGGCGACGACTAACATCTCCGTCTCGCCTTCGACTATATTCTCCGACAGGCGATATATTGTTATGCAGATATTTAATACCTAACCTTCGTCGAATTTCCACCGGTGATTGGTTTTGAGCTAAATTTAGAATGAAATCACTTATAAATATTTTAATAAAATCAAACTGAAAATTGATAACTAAATTTATTTATTATAATATGTCAGTCTTTTTCAATGTTATATTTAAAAAAACAATATATTGTGTAATAAATGTATATTACACTTATATATTATATTTAAACATACTAAATAGACTAGGCTAGTGATTGAGCTAGGCTTAGATTTACCTTTCCTACCCACGTCCTAAAACTTAAATTAATTTTATTAGAATTCATTAAATTCTTATGGTTTTGAAACAAATTATAATCGATCATTGAAAATTATCTATAATTATAACTTATATAACGATTCAGAATACAAAAATATAGAAACGTAATCATAATTTGTATTTAAATATTGTAAATTGTAATGCTAGTGTATTTATGTATAAACATATCGTTTTGAAAGGGTTGAAAAATGTGTGTTTACGCCGCCTAAATAGACTTGTGTCTTGTGTTAAACAGCGTCTAAATATGATAAGAAAGTAAATTGATGTTAGTAGATACTAGCAAGACGCCGGTAGGTAGGTACCCACTATTACAATTTCATTGTAATTATTATAAATTAGTAATTAGTATTAACAATACTTGTTGGTTGTTTCTGCAGTATATGAATGAACACTTTCATTTTGAAGAGGATAAAAATGTACTTGAAAAATAAATTCTCTGCTTCACTAGCAGATACTTACTTGTAGCTATTATTGTCTAAGACTCTAAGTATAACTGCTATGGACAATTCTGAAGCAAATTTGTTAAATATTGACGATATTATAAATAATCTTACTGAATGTCATAACGATAGACTGTTAAAATGAATTATATGCGAATATTTTTATTAAAAAATATGTTATTTTTAGCTGGTTTTTAAAACTATTCTTAAGATGATAATTGTGTTATAATATTATTAATATTATTTGTCATAATACGATTATTATTAGTTATTATTACTTTTCATTTAGCCAATTAATTTAATGTGTTTCAATTTTTTTTATGTCAACATAAATTGTTTTTGATTTTTATCTTTTAAGTAGGTATTGCTTTTATAATTTTTATATAGTTGTAATAAAAACGGAACGCTTACCTTTACGCTTTACGCTTTACTAGTCAATAAGTTGTTGTTATTCTAAATTGGTATTACAATATATGTTTATTGTAAATAAAAAATATTTTAAGTTTTATACTTTATTAGAATTTAATCACAATTAATGGTGTGGTTTATTGGGTGTAATTATGGGGTTGTAATATATATATATAAATTAAAAATGTTGGCCTCAGCCTGGCCCACATGATGCAAAAGTTCTTGCGACATATTACTGCGAGCACATAATAATAGGTACTCCCAAATCCGAGGCTGTGCCAAAAAAATAAATACTAAAAAAATTCAAACTATACAGAACAAAATATTTTGGCTAATCAATACCGTTCCTTTTTTTATTTTAGATAAAATTCTTCACTCATAGGCCTTCGCGTGAAAACAGTACAAGAAAGCACCTCGTTATCATATATAGGAATCCATATCATAATATTTCCTTATAAAAGAATGTGATATAAACGTATCTTCTAGAAATAAAAATTTCAAAAACTAGTTTAGAAATGTACCTATAAAAAAAAAATCCTTGAAGTTTGGCTGTTGGTCAGTGACTCCTTTAAGTAATTATAAGTTACTCCTTTATCATACTATCATATTATAATAAAATGTATACAAATTAGTTGTTGTGTATAGATTCTATATCTAATTAGTCATAACGAATGTAAAAAAAAATATATATACCTAAGACCTAACATAAAATATTATTTAATTTAGATAATAATGTAGAACATACCTAGGTAACTTGATATAGTGATATAATTTTGAAAAAAAAGGTGAAGCATAAGACTTTTTTTAATACAAGACGTATTGATGATAATTGTGTATCAGTTAATAATAATATAGGTAGTTCATGTGTTGTAGCTATAAATATTGGTATTAATTATTAATGCAAAATCGACATAGGTACATAATATAGACATATCGGTACGCACATGTTATCGACTGTTTATAGCAAAACTCGGTTTTCCCCGGAAAATGACTTACCGTCGACGAAGATCTATAATGCTTGTACTGTTATCGTGACTAAATGTAAAAACATAAGCACATTTAAATAAAAGTAATGAAAAAATATAATATACGTAAAAACAAAAAATAATTTATTAAAAAAAAAAAATAAAATTTTAATAAAATTCTGAATTATTTCACAGTATTATTTTCCATGAAATTTATAAACACTTAAGTAAATTACCTATACAGCAGGGGCCAGGGATGGGCAACTAAAAGTTACTAAAGAACACGATTAAAGACACTATCTTCAATCGTGCTAGAGAACCAATTTTTAGAATATTAAAATCTAGCGGACTAGACAGCATAGAAAGCAACAAAAAAAGAGCATTACAATTTCCAAAACATGTTTTAATGTGAAATTTGAAAATTTGTAGTTGTAGATGCTAATTCAACAAAATCGACTTATATTTCTGTAGTTGAAAGATGGAACACATATAATTTATGTGCGAACGTTTCATATTATGTTGGCGATTTGTCTTCCTTGGATTTTTCCTATATATGTTTTATGCAGGATTTTGGAAAATATACATTCACATATCACATATTGTGTAAGTACTAAGTATAATATAGTAACAAACATGGGTAACATTTTTAGTGCAATATCTCGCAGAGATGGATATTTTTTAACTAGTTATGTTTTCCACAACGACATATCAGTCTCTTTTGTAGATAAAAATGGATCTGTTTACAACTCAGATATCCCTAGTATTGAAGTGAAGCATCATGCTTTTCAATTTCAACTGCCATAGGATTATTAAATACATTTATTTGAGAACGCATCAATTCAACTTATTCAAATCGTTATTTGAATTCTACAACTAACTCAGCTAAGTGGGTAATGAAATGTTCAAAATTAAATTCATTGTCATATTTTATTATTATAACTTTACAACGTGGGATATATTATATTATTTTATTATCAACAGGTACATTTTTAAACACTTTCAACATTTTTTGTATCTATCTAAAAACCCAGTAATTCAAGAAATTGTTTAAAATTGCTAAAATTATACAAAATAATTTGTAAATGTAATACAAGTACAACAGAAAAATTAAGTATACGGACCAGATGAGTTGTTGGCCAAAAGTTGTCAACCCCTGCTTTAAAGTATATAGGTACCAATGGAAATGGTTTTAATATATTTTTTATTTTTGTATAATATTATGGCAGATATATCTCTAATCAAGTCATTGTTTTAAATAGTTTACATTAATGTGAATATTATGATGACTTTTGTGTATTGATAATAGGTACATAAAAATTCTAATGTTTGCGTGTAGTATTTTTTTCCAACTGTAACAAGAGCATGGCACTCATGAATGGTTTTCTGTAACTATCAAAAAGAAGGCAACTTAAAATGAAAATAAATCTATAAAATGATTAAATTGACAAAATAAAGGGATAGCGATAACACTACTGTGAAGAGATTATTAATCAATAATAAATATCAATAAAATACAAATAAGATGGAAGGGGCATTTTACTTGTCTTTGGCAATGAGACATTTTTTTCCGATAGGTAATTAGAGAATACACTAGCAACATTTAAAAAAAAAACAAACATTAAAGTGTAAATCTAGCACACTTTTATACCATGTTTGAACAGTTAAGAATTTAGAAATAGAACATTTATATTTTATTTTATTTTAGTCATGTTTAAGCTCTAGTGAGTAATTCAAGTAAAAAAGACAAGTTGTCTTTGTTATAAATTTCTAAGTATTTTAAGACTTTTAGAATAAATTTTTAAATACTTGCACATTTTCAAAGGTGGATTACTATAAAAATTAAATAAAAGATACTAAAAAATAAGTAAATTAAGATTTTTTCTAGAACTAAAAGCAAATTGAAAGAGTAAAATAATATTTCAATTTAATTTTTAAGTAGTAGTTCTCTGCTCGAAAAATGTATTCAAATAATGTAATACATGATGTATATTATATTGTACCATAAACAAAATACAACTTAAGGAGAATATAAATAATAATAAACATTAGAAAAGGTATTTAAATATTTAAAAATATAATGAAAAATAATATAAAAACAATACATAATCTTAAAGAAATTATATATCATTCTTGCAGGTACATTTAAACTATTTAAACAAATATATTATTCTTATACAGAAAATATATATTCTAACGGGTATTCTGACAAGCGTATTTATAATACCATAAAAAAAAAAAACAAAAAACAAAAAAAATATACACATAATAAGTAAATATAGGATTGACAGAACATTATATTATAATGCTCATTTGATATTGTCAACTTATCAAAATAGATGAATAGAAACAAATTGTTTTTATACATATCATATCAATATTAATAACAAAACTATTGTTTATGATCATAACAATTATCACATGTTAAATTAATGATTATTGTTTTAACTAATATCAGAAAACGAATAATTAAAATAATTTTAAGTATATATGAAAATAATTGTTAATGGAATAAGAACAATATTTGAAAGTGAGCAGTCTGTTTTTTTTGTCTAAGTTATTTAAAATGTATATATTTATTACTAAAAATAATTTATATGATTAAAAAACTTATAGCAATAAATCAAAGACCTATAAAACAATATTTAACTTTGAAATATAAATCATATTTTGTTACTATTTAAAAGCGATATATAATTTATAAAACCAATACAAAAAACATTATTAGCCTTTTTGTTGATAAGCTGTTTAAACAATATGGTTTTGCACATTTGATCTACTTGGTTCCGTGTTGTTCATCAGTTCTGGAGCCAAACTAATTTCTGAATCTGTGAAAAAGATATAAAAGTTAAAAGTGTACAAAATACAACCAAATTTCTTTTTTCTCTTACTTGACAAAGATGATGGAACTGCTTGGCGGGCTGCTGGTGGTGGATCATACAGATTTTGATAATCTGATAACATTGAGTCTGATGAATCTGTTTGAGATGAAACTGTATCATAGTCTGCATTGGCTACATTTATTGATGATAAAACTGGAGCATGCACTTCAACAGTGTTAGCAGATCTGCCACGAGCAAATACACGCCCCTGTAAAAACACTTATGAGACATTGTATATCAACATAAAAATCATTATTACTTACTCTGAAACTACGGAATGTACCAACACCCAATGAATTTGAATTATTAATACCAGGTGAAACTAATGGAGTCCTATCATTGGGCTGCTCATCACTATCAGTATCTGAAGAATATGCCACAGCATGTAGATCTTCATTGTTACCATAAACTCGACGTTTACAGATAGGACAAAATCTTCGGTTTCTTGTTAACCACGGATCAATACATTTACAGTGATAAGCTGTAAGCATTTAATAAAAAAATTTTTTATCAGACATAAAATATAAAAATAAATACTTACCATGAGCACATGGCAAAATTCTTAGTTTGTCTCCATCCATATAATCATCTAAGCATATGGCACAAGTATCATATGGATCACCTTTCACAAATGTTGAGATCGGAATTTTACGAAGAATAGATGCAGGTAATCGATGTCTAAATGCTCGTCTTCGATCTTTAATCCATTTAATTAACTGTAAATTACTCATAATTTTAATATCAACAACAGCCAATCAAACAATAAGTCTTAAGATATATATTTTCTATATTATTTTAATGATTTGATAAACTGTTATAGACATTTTTATAAAAAATTTATTGACATAATTATTGTTAATTGTTGTAAGTAAATAACTAAAATTTAATAATAAAATTGGCTACCAAAATAATAAATCAAAAATCGATATATAAATATTTTAATAATAAAATACATATACATAATTATCAGACGCTTTTTTATTGGTCAGGCTGCAATAGTTAATGTGTATTTTGCTTAGTGAGTACTACACAACACTGAAGACTTTAAAACTTTCTGGTCAAAATATACAATCGAACAAAATATTAACAAGAACCCATTTGAATCAAATTGTTATAATATCTTAAAACAAATTTAATAAAACTAAATAATAGTTTGAAAAATATTTTCTTATTGTTTATGTATTCAAGATTGTTTTGACTATTTTACATTATGTATAGTACTTATTATACTTTTTATAATAATATACAATTTTTATCCGTTAAGGATAGAGCTTATAAATATATATTACCATAAACCCAAGCATTGCGAAGAAACATACCGCAACAATCACAGCAAATGGCAACAATAAATTCAAGTTTATATCAAATGGGGATTGACTGTTGTCTACAATCACATAAAATCTAAAAAAAAAGGTATATAAATATGAAATTATTTAAGAAAAACTAAATCATACCGAATTTTATTAATAATAACAATGAAAAACATAATACATAGATAATGAACTTTCAAACTGTAATATTGTAGTCTGCTATAGAAATCAAACTTTCAGTTTTCAAGAGCCAATGTTTGGTCTTAAAACTTAAATATTAACCAAGTTATACAATTTTTTTACAGATGATAACTATCATAAGTGAAAGTGGAAATAAATCAACAACAATAAAATACAGATAATGTTGTCTTTAAGATAATGTATAAGTACTAAGTAGTGCAGTAGTTAGGGAATTCTTTAGGGCTTAAGTCTTCTCCCCCCCCCCCCCAAAAAAAATATCAAACTTACTATACCCAGTAGTACCCTAGCAATAAAATATTTTAGATCCTCCCCCTAAAAAAATTATGGCTACAGTACTGGCATAAATTTGATTTCTGAATAATTACTTCTGTACGTACAACTGAAATTGAAATAAACATTATATTTTAGCTAACAATGATACAAACACAGGAGTCATTATTAAAATAGAATATTTGAATTTTTGAATTTTCTTTTTGTGCCATAAAAATACTTAAGCTAAACATCTAAAAACACCGCTTTGTGCGCTTTAATATAATGTGATTGATATTTTAGTTAATGTAATAGAAGCTACAGATATTTTTTATTATAACATAAGATAAAAAAAATAGATCTTATGGCAATAATTGAACAGTATAACACGAGGATAATTATCATAAGTGGGGCATGAGGGACCTTCCATACGAGATTTTTTCACTACTGTAAACTATTTACAAAATTATAATTGTTTGTATGAATTTTTTTTATAAAATTACATACTATGTATTTTTTAGGTTTTGATGGACAATCTATATCTTCTTATGTTTTAATACCATTCAAATATTATTGATTAAAAAAAAAGCCTCTCTATATTTGCAATGGTCTTAACAAAATTACATAGTACCACAAACCAGGAAGAGTTGGACAAAATTGAAACAAGTTTAAAAAGAAATATGACTTAGATGTATTAAAACTACAGTCAAACATTGTAAGCCATGTGAAAATTTTGAGAAATATATAAATTCTAAAATTCTGATGTATTTTTATTTAATGATATGATTTTCAAAATGTCTGGTTTGCTTTTAAGGATCAACTCATGGTTGTCTTGCTGACACAATAAAATGTTTCAACCTCAAATGAATATTTTTTTAAGGAAATAATATAAGGCTATGGACATAATTTTGATTTCATATTAATGGTATTAAAAGGGTTTAAGGGTTTAGGAGAATTTTGTGGGCTAATTATCCCTCTAGAGTTCTTAGGTCACTGTAGCTCCTGCTACGATGACCCGTGCACACTTATGGTGATAATACATAATTCAATTTTAATTAAGATTTCCAAAAATGTTCTTAAATTATTTTTATTTAAAAAAAGGTAGAAACAAGTGTTACCTATTCCAATGAAATTGTATTAACTATTGTATTAACTATTAAATTGTATTAAATTGTATTTAATTCTATTAAAAATAAGACCTTATTCATTAAAATATCATAATTACTTGTTGGAATAATCATAGTAGTCTCTCAACATAAGCCCTGTGCTATCGCCAACAAAAACTGAAGGAATCACTATATCACTTGTATTTTTACCATTCATTGGCACTAATAATATACAAAAAGTAAAAACGAATTAATAGTTAAATTGAATGCAGTAATTAGTTTTCAAGCAACTTGAAGTGTGTTTAATATACTTTCTTTAATTAGTAAAATTAAGGTGGACCAACTACAATTTTAGATTCTGAGAAAACCAATTATTTTAAAATGACAGGCTTTTTTTTAAATTAATGTTTTTTTTTTTTTTGTTATAGTGTACAATTAAGTAGTCGAAATAATGCTTAGATTTTCAACTTCAGTATCTTTTCCAACGGGACAGTGAATCTAGTTGGTGCAATCAAAAGGTCAAAATTGAAAATTCTTAGAAGTTATCAAAAAAAAAAAAAACAGGGTAGTGGATGTCACTCTGCTGTACATTAGGTGTCTAGGAAGTTGCTGTAATGGCTGGCATTCAATTTGAATTCAATATCATATCAATATATCATCATAAACAAAAAATGATTCTGAGCGGGGACGGTGCGTCAGTATAGGATATTTTATATTGTTATTACTTATTAGTTATTATTAATTTGATACCCGGTAAGTTATATTATTATTATTCTAAAACTATCAGTATTGCTGGAAAAATATTAAAAATAGCTATGTAAAATTGGGTTGTTTTGGAACCGAATTACAACAAAATGATAAACGTGTACTTTGTGTTAATATGCAAATTTGAACTTAAAATGTCTAAAAAATTACTATATTTATAAATTTCTTAGATTTTTTAGTTACAGAAAAAACGCTTAAGTGGAACCTTGTTTTAAATTTTCAATCCTTAGCTATAAAAATTGAACATTTTCTAAATTTTTAATTACAATATCATTTTTAATTCTATAAATATTGTAAAAATTTAAACTTCAAATGCTTATAAAAAAAACTGTGCCTATGTATTTTTAATAGTTTTCAACTGTTATTGTAACAACATATCAAGTCTTGAATTAAATTTTCCTACTTTTGACCCAACCAATAAAATATTATTGACATATATAGAAAAAAAAATTCTGTAACCATAAAATACCCGTTTTTAAAATAGTTATTTCATGTTAAAATTTGGATGTAATAACATATTTCAATCGAGTCTGGCACAAAGGACTTCTATACAAAACCCGATTTCTTCCTGCTCCTCTCTACCTCATTATTAACTCATTTCTCTCTAATCATACCTTCCAAGTGCGCTGTGACGATGTTCTTTCTGAAACTCATTCTGCAAAAGTAGGTGTACCCCAAGGTAGCATTCTTGCACCCACGCTCTATAATATTTACACATCTGATATTCCTCACTCTAACCTTACTAGCCTAGCTACTTTTGTCGATGACACATGCATAATATTTTCTGATCCAGATATAAATAATTCAACGGGGAACCTTCAATCACATCTTAATGACTTACCAAATTGGTTTAATCTATGGAGAATAAAAATAAATGAAAACAAATCATCACATATAACATTTACGCTTCGACCAAATAACAGCCCCTCGGTTACTCTCAATAACGAAACTATCCCTAGAGAAAGTTCTGTAAAATATCTAGGTATTCATCTAGACCAAAGATTAACATGGGCCACTCACATCAAAACCAAAAGAAAATCAATGAAAATAAAACTTCATCAACTTCATCAACTTCTCCGTTCTAAAATATTACTTAGTGACAAAACTCTTGTTTACAAACAATTAATTCGTCCTGCATTGACATACGGTATAGAAATCTGGGGCTCAACCAAAATCTCAAATCTAAATCTTCTCCAATCCTTTCAGTTGATCAGTCTCCGTCTTCTGACACTTTGGTATGTTAGTAATCATACACTCCATAAAGACTTGAATATTCCAACTCTTCTCACCCTCGCTTCAACACACTATAAAAAATTGCATTCCAAAACAAATAATCATCCAAACCCGCTAATTTCTAACCTCTCCTCTAAGACTCTCCCGGATAACCCTCCCCGTCGACTAAAACGAAATTGGCCTCGTGATTTACTTCGCTAAATAATTACAAAAAAAAAAAAACCAGTTTGAAGTAGTGTCAATGGACGCACCCTTCAGTCAAGCCTCCAAACCTTGTAAAAAAAATCTCACATTTACTTATTGTTTTATTTTATTACAGATTGTAAATTTATTTATATAATGAAAAAAAAAATTACATATTAAGGGGATCGGTGGCGGTGACAACTGTCTTTGTCAAACACACGCGCAACATAAGAATTCAGAGGTGTTTTTTGGCAAACGTACCGATTGATAAAGTGAAGTGATAAGAATACTGAAAACAGATTTGAATTTGTCGTCAAGTCTACTTAAGATCGGTCAGTCTACATTTTTGATTTTAGATTCTGAGTGAAACGATGAATGTCTTTTTATTTTTTTTTTTATCGTTTCACTCAGAATCTAAAATCAAAAATGTAGACTGACCAATCTCAAGTAGACTTGACGACAAATTCAAATCTGTTTTAGAATTCTTATCGCTTCACTTTATCAATCGGTACGTTTGCCGAAAAACACCTCTGAATTCTTATGTTGCGCGTGTGTTAGACAAAGACAGTCGTCACCGCCACCGATCCCCTTAAATGACCAAGAATAATGATTTAAGTTATTTTGTTCTCCAACCACGCCAACACATTAGTAGCAGACTATTCGGATGACTAAGTCATAATATAATCTAGTCCAAATCCTATATTACCCTCCTAAAACCTACAGAACTATCTTTCAATAATGGAAGATTGGTATAAAAAGTGGCGTTTTAAAATAAACCAAGCCAAATTAGTACATACTACATTTACACTTAAATTAGCCCCATGTCCAGAGGTATTGCCTTTTGGTACTCAGATCCTCTCATCCCCAAACGTTAAATATCTCGGGCTAACTCTTGATCGCTGTCTCACCTGGGCTCACCACATCAAAGCCACACATCACAATTAAACTCCCGCTTACAAATGCTCAAAACCCTAATCGTCAACAACAAACACTTAAAACCTAATACTAAACTACTCCTTTACAAATCTCTCGTAAAGCCAATTTGGACATACAGCTTACAGCTATGGAGGAAAGCGAAAATTTATAATCTAAAAAAAATTCAACGGTTCCAAAATAAAATATTAAGGAAAATTACCAATTCTCCACCATATGTACCAAATCACTCCCTCCATAAAGAAATACACATGAAAACAATTCAGGAAAAGGCAAAAAATTATTATAAACGATTCCACCTACGCCTTACTCTCATCCAAACAAACTTATAAAAAATCTAGTTTCATTAGTCATCCCTGGTAACCCTCTTCATCGCCTTAAGCGAAAATGGTGCAGAGACCTACTTAATCCCTAACAAAAAAAAAAAAAAAGAATAAGGCTAAAACAAAATAATTTAAAGACATAAGTATCATTGGTGGGTGGCTTCTTCATACAAAATGTCATTTTTCCTTGTCATTAGCTCATACTCTTACTGTGCCAATTGCGTATAGATTGTGTATACATTAATAAAAAAAAAAAAAAGTAATTTTGTTCTAATTTTTTTTTTTTTTTTTTTTTTTTTTTACAAGAAATATACAATCTATACAGATAAGCACAATAAGTATATGTGAGATAGGGGTAACAAAGCATTAAGGGGTTACGTGAGTAAGAAGCCACCCAACGGTAGTACTTAGCTTGTTTATTATGTGATTATTATAACTTATTAGGATTAGGTTAGATGATCCCTACACCATTTCCTTTTCAGTCTGCGACGGGGATTTCCAGGAAGTGACGGGATATGTAAGCCTTTTATTAGAGGATTTACATGGTTTTCTAATTTATAATAGAATCGTTTATAGAAAATAGCATTTGCTTTAATTAGTTGGTATCCAGGTATGAAGATATGTGTATATTTAGTGAAGTGTGTTTCTGTGATAAGGGCGATGTCGATACGTTTATCATATAATACATTTTGTAAAATATTTACATGGTTTTTAAGACCATTAGCATTAAATTGTAAAACTAGGAGGGACTTATTTGTAGCAGAATTATTCATTTTTTTTTGCCAATAAGCTTGAGATTACCTGAGTAAGTAGTGAGATTAATGGATTGATGAGAGTTTTAAGCTCGCTTACAAAGCTTGCCATTAGCGAATTAATATCGGGAGTAGGCAGAGGAATATTAGATTGTGGATGTTGACCTTGAGTTGCCTGAGCATACGTTTGAGGTTGGCTAGGAGGAGGATTGTTGGAAGTGGTATTGCGTGGGTGGCTATCTTGTACATTGTTAGGCTTATGACTAGAGTTTACATGTAATTTTTGATTATTTAGGTTGGTTTTCTTACGTTGCTGGAGGTTTTTGTAAACTGTGCATCCCCTGTAGTTTGCAGGGTGGTTACCTGTGCAGAGGGCGCATCGCATTGGGTCTTGACGTGAATTTGGACAGGCAGATGAAGAATGGTCATCACCGCACCGGACACAACGAGGACTATATCCGCAGTAGGCTTTGGTATGACCATAAGCTTGACAGTTCTGGCATTGACTAATAATTTTAGGCTTGTGAGGTTCTTCTATTTTTATTTTTGTGTGCAATAAGGATTCAAGTTTAAAAATCTCATTTGAGTGATCTGTTGGCTCGAGGTCGACAAAAAATAATGGCAGGGGTATTTTGCTAATTCTGTGAATAACCTGCGTAACTTGTCTGACTTCATATAAGCGAAGTTCGAGTTCACTTTTGATCATTTCCGTTGGAGTGGATGGGTGCAAGTTACGAATAACTATACGCATGGGTTTATCTTCTTTTAGCTGGAATGTATGGAATTCAGCTTCCGCATCTCTTAAGTAGTGAACTAGTGTTCTATACGCTCCTGGATTGGTAGTTTGGATTTTTAAATGATCAGCCGTTGACTTGCAGATAAAATTATCGACACCTATTAATTCAATTAGTTTTGTACAAACACCAGGGAAGTCTTCTACGCCTCGTATGAAAATTGGAGGGGGTGGTTTAGAGTAAGTGAGAACTGGATCTGGATCAGCAATTGACTGTTTTTCCTGTGCAGTAGTTTCAAAAGTTTCTTCTGTAGATTCCGGTGGTTTTAATACATCAAATCGGTTAGGAGTCGCGAATAGTTTTTTGCTTACATGTTGAAGTAGATTTGGTGACGACGGTTCTGAACTGGACGTACTAGAGTGATTGCGTTTATCACTATTAACAGGTGTCTTCGGTGACCTGGGTTTAGGATTTGCATTTGAGGTCTTGTTATTAAGATTTGCATTATTTGTATTATTATGATTACGGCTGGTCATATTTAAATGTTTAACTGTAGAATGATAAGTTTTCACGGACTGCGAAGTCGATTAATTACGCCGAGTAGCGTATATTATTATAATATTATTATAATATTAATTATTATCGTAATCGCGTGGACAAAGGTCACCGCCGCGGCGATGCCTCGTAGTGAGATTAGGTATATTATATAACCATGCACTAAATACGTATACTTAGTAAACTTAAATCTATTTCCACAAATAAAGGCTGGTTTTGGCAGCTGGTAGACACTGGGGTCAGCAATTACACTAAGAACTGAGTCGTTTGATATAAAGAACGAAAAATTCCGACAAGTTTGAGCGACATTACATTAAACAAACGCGGAGGCATGAAAAACGTGTACATTCAGCTTGGCTGTCCGCGCGTGACTGATTGTTCTAATTTAAAAATATTATTTGTGGGAACTTGAAACTTTACCGAGTATATGATTATATTTTATATACACAATGACTTTTCAAATGTAATTATTTTTGGCAAAAATGAATTTAACCTACTGTAGTACTAATGCTTAATAGTAAAATAAATTACTTTAATCAGCACAACGTCATAAAATACACTAAATTGTATTATAGGCTGACAGACTGTCTTCGCTCAGAATCGTTTTTGTACACAATGATTTTATATGAATTCAAATTAAACACCATTTATTATAGTGACCCACATGTAACCTACTGTACAGCAAAGCGACATCCACTTACCAGTTTTATTTAAATTGATGTTATGTAATTTCATTTATTAAAAATAAAAATATCACCTTTATTAGTGTTACAAGATTAGGTATTCAAAGTCAATTTACTTACAAATCAAACTTGAGTTGACATTGAATATAATGGCTAATGTATAGTTGCTATTTTGAGCATTCCTCACTTTTACGTCGAAATTACAATTTCCTCTTTTAATCAAGGCAAAAAAACTTCCGCTTTTGGGCGGAGATTCAATTTTAGTACAACCATCTTCAGGTTTAGAACGCAAAATGTAACCCTTAAACAATATAAAAATTTAAAAATAAATATACATTTTGATTTCAAGTTTATCTATAAATTATTGAAATACTTTAATGCCATCTGAAGGTATATCTGGTCCAAAAAGAGATGGAGCATCTGAAAACTCTAAATCTAGCTGTTGTTGTTCCTCGTTATATATGTTAATTTCACATTTTACTGTGGTCACAAAGGCTATTAAGGCAATAAATGCCATTGCCTTTTTAAACATTTTTGATAAAAGTTGTACAGCATCTGATAGTCAACTAAAACAAATAAAAATGATATAAGAAATTGTCTTTTACCAAATATACAAGATTAATTATGAACTATTACTTTTTAATATTAAATGAAAGAGTAAATAAGTTATCATTCAAACACGATTATATATTTGGCAGGTCAATTAAAGTGTTGAAATATAGTACATGCCCCTGGAGATATTGAACAGGCGGCGTCATATGACAGGATTTTTTCTTAAATTATGAAAAAAATCCTTTTAAAGGGGGTTCAACTCTTGAATTTGTATATTAATTACTTTTAAAAATGTCAATTTTATAATAATTATGTTAGTTGAAAGCAAAATAAAATAGTTTGAAAGTAAAAAAAAATAGTTTGAAAGTAAAAAAAAATAAGTTTAAAGTTGAATAAAAATAATAATAAAATAAAGTTTAAGTTGTGTAATAAAAAATTTCAGAAAATGTGCAAGTTTTGTTTTGTTAAAAAAAATAAGAGGTAGAACCCCCCCCCCCCAATTAAATAGGGGTTTTTTCCTTAACTTAAGGTATACTTATGATGCCTACTGGTTTACTTCCTGTCGAGACACATTAAATATATATTTTATATTATTATCTATATCAATAAAACAATAAAATTAAATGTTTGAGAGTGTGTGTAAGCAATCCACAGACAAGACAGTCACACTTATGGTTCTGAAAATTGGTACATAGATAATCTTAAACCGAAAAATGTGCACTTCAAAGCCAATGTTTTTAATTTTGCATTTTAAAGAGGGACTCACACAGAGATTTGTTGATTCACGAAAAACAAATATTTTTTTATTTGCATAGGGTTGCCATTGGTATGTTCAAATTATTTTTCTATGTATATGTATGTTTTGCCCATGTTACTATTTTGTCCAAGATAATTCCTATGTATTTTTTAATTTATTGAATGGGGGATTGGGTTGTCATACTTGATTTGTGTAAAGATCAGAATATTAAAAAAATGCAAATAATAATTTATTTTAGGACTTGTTTGTAGGTAATCTCATCCTAGTAGCTAGTGGGAAATTAAACTCCACCAACTGTACCTATAATTGATTGAGTCTTTTTCTCATAAGGTTAGAGCGAGTGTGTATGGTAGCAAAGATCTTATTCTTAGATGCGTTTAAAATGACATATTTTCAATTAAAACGATCAGATTTTTTCAATGTTCCACTGTCCTTTTTCATACTAATAACTAATAACTTTTGTCTTTGTGTATGAACAGTTTTAAGTTAATTACTCTTAGGTCATTATTTCTAGTTTTTATGGCCACTTTATCCTCTTTTTCATTCCTGGATCTCCATCCTTGTGACGTGATATTTAAGTTAGTAATATTTTTTTCTCAGATTGTTTGCTTCTATCATAAAAATGTTTTACAAGCTAGTGTTCTAAAAGGCTAATATAATATATATGAATATACATATAAATATATGTACTTCTAAAGAATTTTTGAATATTTAGAAAGATGTATCAAAACATATAATAATAATTTTTCTACCAGCAGTTAACGTTTCATTCAAATTCAATCAGATACAGTAGGTATAAGTATTAGATCATATAACTATAATTTACTCTAACTTAATATGTCATTTAATTATGCCAAAATAAATAAATAAATAAATAAATAAAATAAACTGTTTTACTTTTAATATGTGCACTTGGTATCTCAACTACTTAATAATTTCCTATGTGCTTGACATGTGAGCATTAATTGATCTAATCTAAATAATTAATTAAAAATTATCTAATATTATACACAACAGTTAACACTAAATAGAATAATAGCCTATACGGGGGATTCTCGACCTACGAGCCGCAGGCCAGTTCTGGCCAACCATGCGTTTTGAACTAGTCTCGGCAAGTTAATTGATGTTTTGAAAATATATTGTTATTGTTTTTAATATATTAATTACTAAAAATAATTTGTATACATTATTTGCAATTTTATTACCTCTCTATCACTATCTAAAAACATTTGGCCTGTGATGCTGAAATGTTTCATAGATTTGGCTCGCCGTAAAAAAGGTTGGAGACCCCTAGCCTATACTGTTACAGTGTTATATATTCTACACCTTATTATGTTATCTTATCAGCTAATCATATTTACAAAAAGTGTTGTTAAATATACATGTTAAATGTTGGTGTTTACATACTGGTAAAAAGTAAATGAACTAAACCACATTAAGCAAAATGACTGGATTTTAGCACTGATGAAGTATTTGGTGTAAGTCATTAATATATGATCATTTTTTTTATACAAGTTAACAAGAGATTTACTAAGCTAAAAATACTTTCATTATTATTCTATGCTTCAATCATTAGCAATAATGCGTGTGAAAAATAACTTATTCGAAAGTAATTGTCAATTGACATTATTACATTAACATTACAGACCAATAAATCTATATAAGACAATATAATATAAATGTATTCAGAACCCGTTTATTTACTTATTTCCTGGCAAACCGTTACAGTAATTCTGGGCATACAATGTGTAACTGGCAGTTGAAATAAATCTGACCTTCAGCGTAGATCATGATCTGCAAAAAAAAATGTTGTAACTAATCAACAAAGACTTCAGCAGTGGCGAGCAGGTCCAGGATCAGTATTTCTATCACCGATAATAATTATAGCAGCTTAAAACTCTTGACGGTAATAATAAAAACAACGACAACAGAGTTTGAAATTTCGACGAGTAATAGTCATCGAATATTAGACATGAAGATGACTACTATTCGATGGACATCGCAGTCTACAGCAACACACGCAACTGAATGCAGAGCTGGTGTTGTCCAAATGCGTTGCGATAGTCTTGCATAACAGGAATAATATATTTTGTCGAAAAAATCATCGACCACATAAGTATTGTGTACATTAAACTGACCTTGACTTGAAGCTCGAAACACTGAACCAGCGCTCGACGCACGCACAAACAAATCAAAACTCGTACTGAAAAACTCAAGTCGGCGCCAGAAAGCGGCGTGTGGTGATGTCAATACTGTGTGCCAGGAAGGAAAATCGTACGTGCTACTGCAGTCTGTACTGCGGGACGACGCTACCAGTCAACCGTGGTCTACAGTATAGTGTAGAGTCTACACGGAACAAAAACAACGGACAGAGGCGATAACAACTACGATGGACGGTCCCCCGCCGGGCGAGAGGAGACAATAATGTTGAAACGCAAATCGAAAAAACAAGACGAGCGGTTGTCGAATGTCGATTACGCGAATAATAATAATAAATATATTATTATTATAATGATATTTAATGATAATACGAATAATAGTAATAAATTGTAATAATAATAATAATAATTTATGTAAGTAAATAGGCGACGTTCACTGACTAGTTTGTCTGTTATCACGCCGTAGAGCCATCAGCTGCTGCTGCCATAGCGATAACACAGAACAATAGCTTTGCTGCGCGGCTGCTTCTGTCTACTGCAAAGTGCAAGGTAGATTTATGGGTAAGTCCACCGTGGTCAGCTGCTGTAGTCGCTATTATTGCCTGAGCCCTGAGCAGTGAGGGTACCTAGTACCTACCACGATTAAAGATATCTTTACAATATTCATATGAGAGCCTAATCGATTGAAAAGAGATTGAATGGCCCAATCATGAACATAATGAAAGGAACCACACATTCGTATTATTATTCTACATATTGTTTGTGTAACCAGTATATCTTAAATCATATTTTATTCCACGATATGTATATTTCATGCCTTTGACTACACGCTCCTAATTCATCAACCCAACCACGCCAGACAAAGGCATGCTCGATGCTCAGTCAAAGGTCAAAGGAATGTAATAAACTAATAAGCTTCGATCTTAATATACTAGTGGTATATGATATAAGGTAAAATGCATGACTAAAAAATAGGTATGATCACAAAACACCAGTTTTCGTCCTGTTGGCGCATCTCCCACTATTCAATCTGCGAAAACATTGCTCGTAATTCTTCGCATATCATCGGTCTGCAATGTTATTGCCGCCAAAATATAAAACTTCATTGATTGTTTTGTAAGTGCAACCATATTGAATGTTTATTCGTTGATTTCTACGCTTTATTTAACATTTTTTTCGACTCAATTTTAAAACGCTCGAATAATGTTCCAGTGGATGTAGGCAAAAAGAAGTTGGTTCTCTTAAACTCTAGAACAGTGTTGAATAGGTTCCTCAAAGATGATGAAATGCGGCTGTTGTGGCAGAAAAAAATAAACAAAGACGGGATCAACTTTGATTCTGGTATAAATTGTTTTTTATTTACTTCTATTTACTATATCTTCAAGTATAATATGCAATGCTTTTTCATTAATTTTTAGCTGTAGTTTGCTCATTACATTATTATTTATTTCAAATTGTATCATTATAATCTTCTAAAAAACCATTCTAGCAATAAAAAGTATGGTAGTTTACTAAATGAAGATGCAATAATTCTGTAGTAATAGTATAGTAATACAAGTATATCATTCAATATAATCTATAATATTTATTGTTTAAAAACATATTTTATTTTTTGAAGTTCCTATGAAGTAGACTTCTATGACTTGCCTATATACGTACAACCTATTATACTCGTGGTACTCTTGTTTCAAGAGAATTATGGACTCCTGCTGGAAAGTTTTCTGTCTATAAATATTTATATTACAGATGATATTTTTTTTAAATCTATGATTTCATTTGGGGGAGCGTTAACCCATGTATCTGATGTGTATTTTGTTTGTCTAAATGTTCTAATGAAATAAGCAGTATTAGCTTCATGCAATAATAATATAATATATTATTGATATGTTTTAATTTAAAATAATTCATTGTAGGAAAGAAACTCATGTATTAGATAGGTTTCCTGTGCAGGTTGAGTGTTGACGCAAATATTGAGTTTATTTTGAATGAGTCACTTTTTTTGTACGTAATATTATGTTTGGAAGCAGTGACTTCCTAACTTTTATATTATAATTGATGACTTTATTTTTTTTAGAAATAATAGATCATTTTGTGATTAACAGTTAAATATAAGTATACTGTGTGGCAAGGACAAAAATTGAGCTATTTATATATATTTTTTACATGAAACTAACTTTGATAGTTAAATGTACAATACTTAAAATTAACATTATTTACTCATAATCATACAACTTCTTTTTAAATGTAAGATTTAAATTCCTACTGATTCTCGTAATATTGTATATTAACATCAATTATCATTATTCTTGAATCAAATTGAACAATGAACAAATAATTTTCATCTCAATTTGAAAAATACAATGTTAAATAAATATTTTTATCACAAACCAGTAAGATTTTAAAAAAGAATAATGATAGTGTTTTGTAGATTTTTTCACCACAAAATTTTAAGTGTCAATCTATTGACAAATTACAAAGTTCCACGACAATATTATTGAAAATGTACATACTAGGTATTCTTATGGTACTATGGGTATGATAATTAATCATAAATAAATATCTTATATTCTTATCAATTTAAATATAAAACTCTATACTACAAATAAAAAAAACACATTTTAAGATTGAATTAAAAATGTAAAAACTCAACAGAAAATAAAACGAACAACAATAAGACTGCAGGAGATAATCACTTACACATATTTATAAATATGCCTGCAGTTATACAAATACGAAAAATAAATACAATTTTTATAGTATAGATGTACTAAATAGTTCATTAAAAATAGTTCAAACATCATTGGACAAAATTATTAATACAATGTCTATTCAATGTAATATTCACATTTAATAATATATATTTTTTTTTTTAATGCAATGCAAATATTTAAGAAATGTATGCCTTGTTAACTATTTTTTACCACAGGTGATCAAACAACTTAGGATGTTTTTATGTTATAGGTACGTCTTAATACTCTTATAAATAAAATAAATAATTTACATGTGTACAAGTCCTTCAACATTGTCGGATTTCATCTCATTGGTATTAGTAGTAGTATTAGAATTGAGATCATTTGATGTATCTTCCAAATTATTTTTCTGGGTTGGTTTAACCGCCGGTGTCACTTGATTTCTGGTCAAGTAATAAGTAATGCTAAAATCCAAGAATATGACTTGTTATATTTTTCAAATTTGAGCGACAATAATAACAAATAGGTATTATGTTATTGTGTCATTATAAAAAACTTACGCAAAACATCCGATTAACGGAATGGTTAAACATATGCTGATGATGAAAAAGGCACTTGGCTGAGATTCCAGTGTTTTGTTGTACACTATATTATACAACGGTAGGATTGCACTTTTCGATAAGTTATCCATGGCCATTCTCACAGCGTTCATAGATCCTATTATATAAACACAAAAACATATGTAGGTAAGTAAATAAGTTACTAAATACATAAGGAATCTAGAATGTGTTTTAAATAATCCTAGAAAATAAAACCCTATAATAATGTTAAACGATTTTAAACATTGGTTCTTGAGAAGTAAGTCGAGATTTCGTTAGATACTAGTTATAAATTAATTACTTACCTAGTTCATGAGATTCCACGCATTTTGAAGCTATGGCACCACAGAGAGCTAATGCCGCACCACGAAACAGTTCTAACGGAGGTACTACATTAAAAAAATAAACAGATTAATTATTTTATAATTTGCATTACGTTTATTCAAGTAGGTAGGTACTCAATATCAGTAATAAGTAGGTAGGTATAAATATTGATTTTATAGTAAACCGCAATATTGTAAAATTAAGTAGGTACCTACAATATAATTAATAATAACTATAAGCAATATTTTTACCGTCACTTCTAGTATTAATATATTATTTAATTTTAAAAGAAAAATATGAATTTATAATTAACTGTGCATTACTATGAAAAAAAATACGTAAATAAAAAATCTAAAAATGCCTAATTTAATATTAAAAGAAATATTTATATTATTTTCCATACAAAATAAATCGTAGGTATCTGTTCGTGTATACTATAATATAGTTATAGTGGTTGTAGGTAAGAGACAACATTTACACATTAAGTAAATGTATGTCATTGAGTCTAAAAGTTGGACTATTATTGTGTAGTATACACTAGTACTGCAGTGTGTATACTGGATAATTTAATAAAAAGTATGGCTGAATATATATTATATATATATTTAACTATGGTAAATACTAAATTGTAAATACTAAGTTGCAATAATTAGTATTCGTTTATTGTTAGAAAATAATATATAGGTATACCATAATATTTATTACCATTCATTATTTTTCAAACGGAAACTGAAAATACGTTCTATTATAACTTTTAAACGACGAAATGTATGAAAAAAATCTATTTTTAGAAGTACTTCTTTCTTTGAGAATATTTTGTACTCCACCAGTAACAGCTAGAAGCATAAATTTGCATAGAAAAAAAAATATAGGAAAAATATTCAGTCAATACCTATATAGTAGTGTACTTCAAAATTTAATCAAGTGGAATTATTTGCATTTTTTTTACAAGACTGTTATAGGCTGATAGTGCTTGTAATTCGTATTAATATAATACTAATAAGTGTATGTTTTAATTAAAAATAAATTATTCTATCATAAAAATGAATACCTAGTTTATATCCAAGATAAATAAATAGGTATTAATCATATCTTCAGTAGAAAGTATCAAATATAAATCATATAACTTTGTCTAGTATACAATGTCTGAGGTCCTAAAATTGATTTATCAAATATTTTTATGTAAAAAAGGTAAATGAAATATTATAACAAGGGAACAATTGTTTTTACTGTACCGAGGCCAAAAATTGTGTTTGTGTGTGTGGTGTGTGTGTGGGGGGGGGGGGAGTTTGCAGTAATTAAAATATGTTTACTTACCAAATAATATATATTGCAGTTTAGTAACTAATAGGAATCCGACAGCAGTTGCAATATCGAAGAAAGTAGCAATCAGACCGATCATTGCATCGTTCATTTTGAGGTATCGACTCAAAATTCCAAGGGAAAACAGTGATCCTAAAATGTATTTCATTTTAATATTACATCTTTATCAAAAAAAAAACTATGAAAATCTTACCAAATAGCATGATTCCCATTGAGTACGCATTGAATAAACTAAAATCAATTTCTTTGAAGCCAAACTGCTTTCTCAAATACAAATACATTAGACCTATTTCACCTGTGAATGAATAAAAAGAAATACTATTTAAATGAATAATTCATATCTTACAAAATTAAATAGGCACATATACACTGTTCCATTTATTATTTTCCTTCAATCTGTAGCTAACGCTGCCAGAAACACTATCTTTAGTTCGTATTACCATTTACCAGGGTCTCCCCTCAGCAACGTCGTTTTGAGAAACAGACTATAATATCATTTTCTGCATATTGAATAATTGTCATTAAAAATTTTAGCACACATTAAATTACAATGAGTTGAAAAATCCTAAAATATTTTACGGCATAAAAATGGATAAAGGTGGAACTTAAATAAGAGCTATGCTCGTAAATCTATAACTAACACATGCCTATATGTTTGATGATGGAGTTTTTAGGGGCCATGACTCAAATAGGTTTTTGTGAGTGAAAAAATGATCCACATATTTGGAGAAATAATAATAAATAGTATTTGGGTGTAATTATGGTGTAACAGTGTATAACTGAATGATTAAAGCTTAATACCAATTCTCCAATTTAGTATAAATAGGTTCACAAGCAGTGTAAAAGCAACAGCGCTGTTGCAACGTTAAAGCGATACAGTCTTAGACATACTGCAGGGTCGGTTAGGTTACATAATATCAATATCTCTGTATCTCACCCACAAAAGGACCGCCGGTCAGCGGCGAGGCGACGATCATCAGCAAGAGTATAAAGCGCTTGTGGTTGTCGCGCCTGACGAACACGGTCTTGACGCTCTGGACGGCGATATTTGGATCAAACGTGTTCTTGTACAACGAACCGGTCGACTTGTACGGTTCGGACGTGTCGTAAATGAACAGCAGGCCCAGGCACAGGGCGACAGCGTTCAGGCCCATGTTTAAGGCAAACACGGAGGCGAACCCGAGTCTCACGTTCAGGTAACCACCGGACAGTGCGCCCAAGGTGGCGGCCAGCGGCAGAACGGCTGACGCGAACCCAATGCGCATGGTCCGGTTGGACATGTCGGTGATGTCGGCCAGGTATGCGAACATGCCGATGAAGAAGCAGTGCTGTGACCCGGTGACGGACACGATTAGAGACTGCGTGATGCCGGTGACGGTGGGCGACAGGGGCCAGAACAGGGTGGCCAGTAGGTTGAACGCGTCGCAGGTCATCTGTCCGATCACCGGCACGAACATCAGCGGCCGGCGCCGGCGGCCGTGAGAGTCGCTCCAGGGGCCCGCGAACATGATGAACACCAGCGACAGCAGTTCCTGGATCATGTGTTTCCACACGTTGATGGACGAGACACCGTGCTGCGCGACGTTCTCCAGAAGACATTCTGGCGACACGTGTAGGTTCGGTGCCGTGGTCGCGTTCGGGTTACATCCTTTGTGTAATAGCATGTTCGTGCCCACGTTGTTGGACAGGACGGTGGCCACGAAGTACAAGAACAGCATGGGCTCCACCGTCACCGCGCAACGGAACGTTTTGAACGATTTGAGTTTCGGCACGTATATCGTCATGATGACGCCGATGACGACGACGATACTCGCGTAGTCTATAACAAAGCAATCGATTGATTAGCGTTTATAATATACAACAATGCATGAACTGCAGACTATGCGGTTTTTTTTTAATGACCGCTTAATTACCAAAAGTTTAGATTAGGTTATTAAGTTATTTATATAATCGTAAATAATACGGTGGTATTTTTTTTTTTTGGTTGTCATTTTGAGGGATTCGTGAATAGGTAGGCTTTGTTTTTTTTAATAAAGTATATCTATTGAAAGAAAAAAGTTAAGACTTTCCACTTAATTTTTTTAGTAGTATATAAAAGTACACGGATACATATTTCAGGTGGTTTTAAATCCCGGGAGGAAGTAATGCGAAAGTGGTTCCCTCCCGGTCGTCGATTAAACCGAAAAAAAAAAAAAAAAAAAAGGTGGTTTTAAATCATAACAAATTTACTAATCACAAATTGGAAAAGTTATAATTTACAAGTTTACATTTACAGTAACGGTTAGGTCTTAGACACTATATACTCTTAAAATGCTTGTACCTACATTGGTACGATGGTACCGTGGTATCATGGTGGTATCAATGTAGAGGTATATACTTGGAATTCAAAACTGTCTTCACATATATTATTCTTCCAACCCTTACCGAATCACTCTTTGTCCAGACCTCACATCCACCAACAATTATTTCAACGCTCAATCGTTTATACAAGTTTGTAATCAAATATATCCAAACTTTTTATTATATAATATAATGTACTGGACATGTACCTATTAATTTAGTTATAATTGACGTTAAGGCACTTAATCATATTTGATATGTGTAATATACATATACAGGCAGGTAATGGCTATATGTATTGAAGTTGCTTCGGCTTCTTTCTTAATGAAAAAAAACTAAAAACATTATCCTCGGGCGTAGAGGGATATATTATGCGCGTTGCTCGTTGATTAATATTTACCCCAACAAATATGCACGCAGTTATGGCAATAGTTGAATTTTTATGTATATAAATATAATAATTATGTCTAGGTACATATAGGTATAAATGGTACACGCAAGAGATATGTAGGAATTTAGGTATTAGTCCATACTGTAGCGAACAATCGTTTAATAAAGAAAACATGGAGATAATATAATATGCAAAGCCAAATAGAGAACAAATTTTCGGTGGGTGGGGGGAAGGGTTGCTCGAGAATTCGATGAGTCGAGAATCTATATAGGTACTAGTATTTGAAATTTCTTTCCCCGTAGGTTTGTTTATTGCAATATTATAAGTTTTTTTAAAAATTAATGTTATTATCTCAGTAGCTGAGCAATGGCTTAATCCTGATTATGTTTAAAATATTAATTTTTATCGATTAAATATGTCAAGGTTACATGATTTGCTTCAATGCAATGAATGATGTTTTATTATACTTTTATCAATCTAGTATAATCGCATTAAGAGCAAAAAAAATTATGGATTTGGTATGTTATCGGAATTTACTATTTCGTTAACTACCTCAATTACTTACCTGCATACCATATTAACGAGAAAACAACTAATGAATAATATGCAATATGCTCCAATGCTGCATTCTATATAGGTAGTATTATGCTAAGCAATAATATATGCATTTATGCATTTCTTATATTGCACAAAACATTGAAGAGTGCAACATTTTTTCTTTAAGGTTTTCATTTAAGACAATATTCATTGAGAGCATAGGTAATGATAAATAAGATGATTTGTAAAACCAAACATTTGTCGACATTTAGTTGATTATTGGCAGGAAGTTTAATTGTAAAGACAATTATGAATTAAAATGATTAATTAATTAATTTATGAAATCAAATGTATTTTTTGTATTTAAAGACATTTTACTATATTAGGAATTAGGATACATTATAACCGGGTCAGTATTCACAAGTCATACCTATGATAGGTATCGGCTTAGCGAGACTACTGGAATACAACAATATTTTATACACATTAGTACATTACCATCATCGAACATCGAAAATATTGAACATTTTTTATTTATCATTATACATTTAAGTCGTTCAACCAATGCAAATTATACCTGATCCCTGTCTTTTGCGCAATATCTCCGATCGATTGATACATTGAATAAGACCTATAATATTTCAGTCGTTACATAGCCAGTTCGCCCTGTAATTTCGGAAGGAGATAATGAAACAAATCTCACAGTTTTAATGGGGACATTCTGGATATAATATGGAAAAACATTAAAACAATCGTGACTCATCGTACGACCTCATATATTTAGCGTATTGTTTTTTATCCATATCTTCGATGGATAATATATAAAAATTAAATACGTATTAAATTAATTTAAATAAACATGTATTCTATGACGTATAACACGAATCGACAAGTTTCTAACCGGTATATAGAAACTAGTAAACAACATTAATAGCTGAAAATATGATATATAGCAGTGTGCTTCTCTTTTAAATTGTAACACGAAATATTTCTATCCAGTGACCTCGGATTGAAATTTAGTTATCGGGAGAAGTAAAACAATATGTTTTTTTTAGACTTCAGTAAAATACATGCAATTTTAACTTCTGAACTGTCCCATTTAATAATTTTTTTTAACGATCTTTACTCTATGAATGTTAGTTAATTATATTAATCTAGATTTCTTGACACTCGGATAGTGTTTTGAGCTTCTTTCAACCCCTAAGGGTTACTATAGGACAGCTCACATTTCACACATTAATTTCGTTTAGGCTCACGAACATCGAATAATTTTTTTGTTTATACATAGAGCTGCTATTGGTTGAAGAAATGACATTTTAAAATAGTATAGAAAATGTCATTTGTATGTATTATAATTTATAAGTAGCATTATGCTAATAGCTATTTTTTCCGCCGAAAAGAAAATTGATGAATCATAAATATGTTTTTGTCTGTAGTATGCAGTAGAAAATTATCTATAGTATTATCTATAGTAACATCCTATATTTTGTTTGGAATTAATTAAAATTGTTTTTGATTTGTTTTTACTGTTGATTTGCGTCTCTATAGTAGTAAACAAAGCGCCATGATAACCGGCCTTGCAAAATTAGGTTAGGAAAAAAAGTTGTACCCAGCCTAAAAACATATCCACGTTAAAAAAAATTATTTAGAATAGCCGACTCGCCATGCGATTCTATTGATTTTTTTTAATGAAGAAAATAGTATTTAGTTTACATGTTATTTTATTGTTTGTTATTCAAATTTTCAATAAAAGGCAGTGTAAGCCGATGTCTATCACCTATAAATTCAAAAACTACTCCATAAATTTTGATGAAAATTTCAGAGATTGTTCTTAAGAACAAAATTAAGTTTAGAAAGTAGTTTGAACTGCGTTCGCCACAGATGGATTTCCTATCTCCGTCGAATTAGTTCAAAAAGCGTGGTACATCAACAGCGATTTTCCTGTAAACTGAAGTACCTACACTAAGATCGAGACACACTTAAAATGAGACACACCGCGATTTAGCGCTGTATTTTATGTTTTATATAATATCACGTTCTTATATATCTTTCCACATTTAATATTTATCTATATTTTTTTGTGATTACAAAAGTATAAATAGTCATATTATACTCATATGTATGTAGTATATATGTGATATGTCATTAAGATTGCTGCAATTACGATGTCATTATACTGATGTTTTTGTATGCCTTCTTAATATAATCTTTAGCTCTCTTAGTTGTAATTATTTTAGTCACGACTCACAAATATCGTTTTAAAATTTTAATCTAATAGGAAGACAGTTTAATATGAAAAAAATTTCATATCCATATAATCACTTTAAGTAGATATACCTATTTAGTACTCACAAAGGTCTATATAGTATCATATTTCACCAAACACATTTTATCGTAATAGTATACCTAACATTATATTAGTTTTGTTGAAGCATATTTTGTCGGCTAATAAGTGATGACCCTGTGGTTGGTACTTGGTACCACAAAATATAAATTGTGTATATATATATAGTGTCATAAAAAACCTGTATTTATCCACATACGAGTATTATGCATATCGAGTTGAGATGTTTACTACGAGCACCCTTTAGTATAGTCAGAAACTGTGTTTAAAATAGTTGAAGTTAAATATTATGTAATATAGTTATGGTAGATTACTGTCTACTGCTATTATAATACAGCAATATAATGTTTATACAACGAATTATTTATTAAACTGCCCTACAAATTTGGTTGTTACACATAAGTACCTAAATGCTGCAATTAGTGTTTCAACAAACTACATAGTATATTGACGTTTAAAATCCATTTGAATAATTAATTCTGCCGATAATAACACGGTATTTTTATACTTTTTATGGTGTAGATAAGCGTGATATACCATATGAATCATTAATGACTTTATTGATGATGTATATATCCATAATACGTAATAGGAAGTTGATACAATCATGAATTTGAATGTGTACCTACTTAAATAAATGATAAAAGATTAAGGTTCAATAATAGTTGTAATTCGATTGATTTTAAATTCTTTAAAAATTTCAAATAATTTGTACCCAAACTATACGAAAATATAATAGGTTTATACCTAAGTACATTATACAATGTACATTGTACAATGTACAACGTACGTGTACTATATAATAGAATAAAGCATTATAACGTAAACCAATTAAAAACTAAGTCCTATACTACACTATTATACGTTTCTTTCCTGTGTTATAATTTATGAATATTTTAATATTAACTATTAGTTAAATTACAAACAATTATTCATCATTATTTTTTTTAATTTTGGTCATTTTCATAAATAAATAAAAATATTTTTCCACTGTAATTTCTTTTTTTTGTATTGAAATGAAATAATAATTATCCTGTTAAAATAGGAAAATTAACTAATTGATCCACAGTCTGCATAAAATAATGGTACTTATTGAATTTCTCCAAATCATTTAAAAGTTAAAATAGTTACTTAAACTGTCCACGCCCAAATGTATTGTTGTTGAGATGCAG